AAATGGAATTGCATTCACAGGTGGGGTTGGGATTCTAGCACATATTTTGGAGGAACACAGTTAAATCCCTAGTAAGTGTCCACTTTAATCTTAACTTGGTTGATGTCCCTAACCCATAGTGCAGAGATGGAAACAGCTACACCTGTGGTTTAGGCTTGATGCCCAGGGAGAACTCTCCTGTCCTCTTTAGCCAAGTCTAAATCTTAATACCCTGGGATGCTGCAGCCCAAGGCAGTGAAGGAAGCCAGGTCCTGAGTGAGGAGAGGGGCAGACGGAGGCTATGAATGGGCCCTGGGGAGGATAAGAAAGTTAGCACCCTGAACTCTCATGAGCCTGCTCAGGTTAGTGTGCTCACCAAAGGGCAGGAACTGGGGTGTGGGTGTGGAGTGAGGTGGTCTCCTCTCCCCTAACAGGAGTACTCTGGCAGGACATGGTTAGAGAGGGGGATTCCAGTTTCCTCCTGGGTGAGGCAAACTGCTCACGAGATCAGCTGCTAACTGAAAGGTTGGAGGTTCAAGTCCACCCAGAGGCACCTTGGAAGAAAGGCCTGGTGATCTACTTCTGAAAGATCAGCTACTGAAAACCCTGTGGATTGCAGTTCAGTTCTGCTGTGATGCACATGGGGGTGCCACGCATGAGTCAAGGTCAACTTCACAGCAGCTGGGAAAAGGTACCGAGATGGGGATCAGGAGGGAATGAAGTTGAATTTGAGTAGAACTGCGTGGGAGAGCAGTAAGGAGGAGAATCACATCATCTGTTTTGGGTATAATAAACCCAAATAATAGATTTATTCAGAAATGGCAGCTGTTATTACTGCTTCTACCACACACACTTATGTAATGACATCTACAAACACACGAGCTTTCTCTCAGCTTGCAGTTCAGCTCTGCTCCTTTGTTTTCTTCCCTTTACTTTTTCTTCCCCATCCCAGCCTGCCACTCTGAGCTCCAGACAGTGGCCCAGCAACTGCTTGAGGTTCTGCGGGTGAGAGAGGCAGAAACGAACCCAGAGGCAGCCTCTGTGGGTTCCTCCAAGCATCTGCAAACCTCTGCCAGTCAGCTCCTATATCAGAGTGGGGAATCTGGTTTAAATGAAATCCCTGGGGTGAAACGTGCTTTTAACCCACCTTCCCACCCCCAGAGTGAGGCCTTTCTGCCTCTGTTGCCAGGCAAGCAGATAGGTCTCTAGGCAGCTCCAGCCTATGGCTGGGTAGAAGATTCAAAGAAGTAGTGAGGAGAAATGTCCTTATTTGATGGAGAAGGTGACCCTGAGTCAACATCTGACCCATTTAGCTGTGCTATAGCTGCTTGTTTTCCCTCCTTGCATCGCCTGTGTCAGAATAGCTTTTAGAGACATTTGTTAGGGCGCCAGCTGGGGAGAGGGGACTTCAGTGTTTGAGGGCTGCTTCCTGCAGAAGGCAAGGCGGTCACTGATCTCCCTGTGCTGATGCATCTCAGGGCACCCAGGTATAGTCTGTGTGAGTCAGCTGCTTATGGAAGGGAGCCCTGGTGCGTGTATGGAGTGTATATGTGTGTGTTGTGGGGCAGGGGGAGGTCTCCTCTCTCTGCTCTTCATGATGTCTATGGCCCTTAGAAGAACATTAAGTCTGGTAACAGCAACAACATTCTCACACAGAGCTAGCTGTGTACCAGATACTGTAGCAAGCATTTATATATATATATATATATATATGGAGCTCTGGTAGCGTAGTGGTTACAAATCGGGCTGCGAACCTTAAGGTCAGCAGTTCGAAACTACCAGCCGCTCCGCGGGAGAAAGATGAGGCTTTCTACTCCCGTAAAGATTTACACCCTCGGAAACCCTGTACAGGGTCGCTATGGGTCGGACCCGACTCGATGGCACTTAACAACAACAACAACATATATATATATAAAATCTCATTTCATCCTCATGAATGGTTCTATAAGGTGTGTGGTAACATTGATATTTCCATCATACACATAAGAAAGCTTAGATAGGATGACTAACTTGTCCAAGGTCACCAGGTCACACTCCATCTGGTACAGCCAGATGTGATGGACAGGTGGGTGGATGGATGGATGGATTTATACACAATAATCCACAATGCATGGGGCAGATGAAATGCGGGGGAAAGCCAGCAGTGGGAAGGACTTTGTGGGCTGTGAACACCAGCGTTTGCTTTTGTTCCCTCCTCTTGGAATTAAAAAAGCAAAACAAAATCGTTTAGTTTTAATATTATTTATGTATGTTTAAGATCTTTGGAATTACTTTAAACCAAATACATTAATATCCACATACAATCAGGTTTCTACCAAGTGTGGGTGCCCCTGAGGGTCTATAAAAGATTTAATAAATCATATGAACAACCTCTGTGCTTTCAAAAAATATTTCTTCTCCAAACCACTAACTGTATATGAAGGGGCTTCAAAAAGTTCATAGAAAAATAGAACTAAAGGATAACAGGACTTTTCCCATTTGAAACACCCCAGTAATCTCAGCAAACCACTTAAACTCTCTGCATCTTAGATATTTTGTCTGGACCTACCCATATAAAGGCTGTTGCTGTTGGTAAATGCCATTGAGTCAGTTCCAACTCATAGCAACCCTGTATGGGGTTTCCAAGGAACTGCTGGTGAATTTGAACCACCTACCTGTGGTTCAAGGAGCCCTGGTGTAGCGCTGTGGGTTAATGCACCAGACTGCAAAGCCATTTGAACTGCAAAGTAGGTGGTTCAAGCTCACCAGCTGCTCCTTGGAAACCCTACACAGGGTCGCTATGGGTTGGAATCGACTCAACGGCACTTGACGACAACAACCACCTGTGGTTCAAAGTGACCTTGCAGTCCAGTGCTTCATCCCACAGTGCCACACCAAGTGCCCACAGGCATACTATTGACTAAGTACCTGGTCTGTGTCTGGAATTTGTTATACACGTTCATGCACGGTCCTTTTCTTTCTCTTTTATCTTTTTATTCTTGTGAGCATTTTATTGTCATAAGGATCTCAAAGGATTTGACTTTTAATACATACTTTTCAAATAGATTTTATTTTTAAAAAATAGTTTTAAATTTACAGGAAAATTATGCTGAAAGTACAGAGACTTCCTATCTATCCCCTTATCCCACCCTGTACAGTGTTTCTACTATTAGTAACATCTTGAATATTTTTTACAACAGATGAACCAATATTGATAAATTATTGTTAAAGTTCATTGTTTTCAGTTTCATTCTTTGTGTTGTATAATTCTATGGATTTTGACAAATGCATGATGGCATATATTCGCTATCACATACAGAATAGTTTCCCTACCCTAAAAATGCCCTGCATTCTACCTATTCATCCCTGCCCATCCCCTGGCACTCACTAATGTTTTTACTTTATTGATAGTTTTGCCTATTCCAGAGTGTCATATTATTGCAATCAGATAGTCTGTAGCCTTCTCAGACTGGCTTCTTTCATTTAGCAGTAGACAGTTAAGGCACCTTTTATATTTTTGGAGTTTTATAGCTCATTTTTTCTTACTATTCTCACCATTGTGGGTATACAAACTCATACACCCTTACAAGTTTTAACAATTGCTTGTGTTGTCTTCTAATCCTCATAAGAACCCTTACTGACAAGCCAACTGAAGGCTACTGAAGTACAGCTGTAACTTGCCCAAGGTCACACAGACAGGAAATGGTAGGCTGGCAGTAGAAGTACCTCAAGGGCAGAGACATATCCTCACTGTCTAATCCAGTCGGGGTTGGTTGGAGAAGAGGAGACATTTGATGAATGAATGTGTGTGTGAAAAGAGATATGTTTACGCTACAGCCCAAATAGAAATACCCCAAAAAAAACCTCCCACCATAATAACTCCTGGATAAACTTTGAGATCTGGGAACCCTCTAAAATTATGTCCAATGTGCACAGATGGTAGTCCACATACACCATCTGTTTGACCTTCCAAAAGTTCAGAACCACTAAGTGTGCTATAGGAGGACAAAGAGGGAACTCACCCATTATCCACTGCCATTGGGTCAATTCCAACTCATAGTGACCCTATAGGATACAGTTGAATGTCTCCATAGGGTTTCTATGACTGTGACTCATAATGGAACAGATAGCCTCATCTTTCTCCTAGAGAGTAGTTGGTGGGTTTGAACTGCCAACCTTCTTCAGTTAGTAGCCAACATTTAGCTCACTGTGCCACCAGGGTTTCTTCAAAAAGGAAAATGACTCATGGGGGGGGGGGGGAAGGAAATAACAGTATGGAAGGAGAATAACCTATTAGAATATTGTTTTAATAAGAACTGAAACGTGGGATCAAGAGGTAGAGAGAGAAATAAGTGCTCTGACCAATGTGTGGGATGGTAAGTCTGGTGCCAGAGGTAAAGAGGAGTCAGGGAAGCCATGAAAAGTCACCAGGTTTATTACACACAGCTTCCAGAGACAGGGAGGCACCACATGCCCTAATGCAGGACCACGCGGGGCTGAACTAGGGCTGGCAAGATAAGCTGGAATTGTAGGAGAGGAATTGTAGGAGGGGAATGGCAAGCTGGGCAGGGTGAGTCAAGTTGTGCAGGCTTCCTGGGAATTGGGCATTGTGACCAACTCTGCAGACAGGAGGCATAAGGCTGCCCCTAGGTATTGGGTGCATGGCCCAGAGGAATTAGTACTGTTGCATGTGAGGGCCTGAATGGGGACTAATTCGAGACTTGGCTTAATCAAGTGCTCAAGAAGGAGAGCAGACCTGCCTCAAAACTGTGTCAAGACAGCATCTTAAGAAAATAGTATTTCAGCAAGCAACCATTGTACAGTTTGAGAAACCAAAGCTCAAAGGAATTCAATGACTTGCTTGAGGTCCCAAGGCAGAAAGCAGATCTGAGCCTAGAATTCCAACTCCTGAGCCCCAGCTCAAACTGCCTTCAGCAGGCTTGCTACCTGTCCTTCCCCACAGAAGCCAGAGCCTTTCCGTGTGAGCTTCCTAGACTGCCCTCTGTTGACTTCATGGACTTTCTTTCCCTTGTTCTTTCCAGAAGTGGAGCAGATCGAGGCCATTGCCAAGTTTGACTACGTGGGGCGTTCCCCCCGTGAGCTGTCCTTCAAGAAGGGGGCCTCACTGCTACTGTACCACCGTGCCTCAGAGGACTGGTGGGAGGGCCGACACAACGGCGTAGACGGACTCATCCCACATCAGTATATAGTTGTACAGGACATGTGAGTAGGAGTCAGGAACCTGTGTGAAAAACACAGTAATAGATTAGTGATGTCTGGAAGGGGTGCAGGCAGGGAAGTTCTGGGTTGTTGTGCAATTATTTGCTCTCCCTGTTACAAAAGATGCTTGGTCATCTGTAAGAATGGGTTCTATCTGACTTCCTCTTAAGTGGAGATTCACTTCATAAATATGCAAATTTCTCATTCTTCAGACTATAAAGAGACAGCATTGGATGCCCCTGACCCATCTGATAACTTCCAGTGCATGTGTCACCCACCACAACTCAATGTGTCGTGGCTGTTTCTAGACACTCCACCCTCCTGGGCTTCCCTGTAGCCAGTGGCCAGCCTACCACCTCCTCAACTGCATGCCATGCTCCACCCCTGAGGTGGCTTCTCAGGGGACAAGCAGAAACAACCCTCTATTTGAGTTATTAGGGCACTATTGTTAAGTGATGATTTCTGTAGTTAAAAAAGACCTTACATTCCAAATGCATTACCAAAAATTCAGCATCTTCTATTCCTTTGAAAACCACCTCCAAGTCAGTCTTCGATGCAATTGATTTATCCGGAAATCGCAACCAAACTAGACCTCAAAGGCAAGGAACCAAAAGTCTAAGGTTTGATGGGTTGGGGGAAGGTTTGATGCCAGAAAAAAAAGCCAAGACCAGGTAAGCACCAAGTGGGCTGCTATAGTGGAGGGTTCGTGGCAGCCTTCTGAAGTCTCCAGGCTGTTAAGGTAGGGACAAGTCACTGGCAGGGAGAGGGCAATGGAAGGAGGCTGGTAGGGTACCCAAACAAGCTAGAATCATCCAGAGCCCTGGGTGCACAGCAGAGGGAGAGAGGTACCTTCTTCCTCCTTTGTTTAGCCCTGAACCATTTCTCATGGAGCAATGAACACAGCAATGAACACTCAGTTCTCAACTTACAGACTTCATCCACCATATCTCCCGTACAGTCTCCAGCAGCAAGCCTTGTCCTAGCCCAGAGCAGCCTGGGAGAGAATAACCTAGATGAGCTGGGCATGTGGGATGGGATAGAAGAGGTGGGTCTCTGTTGGAGAAACTGAAGGTAAGTCATCCTGAGGTATGGGCACAGTTGAATCATGAGGTGTATGTTGAGTCGTCTTTCCCAGAAGACCTCAAGGAACCCTAGACACCCTGGATTCTCTGGAGAGACCACCACCAATTCATGTCTGTCCTTCTCCCTAGGGATGATGCCTTCTCAGACAGCCTGAGCCAGAAGGCTGACAGCGAGGCCAGCAGTGGGCCACTGCTAGATGACAAAGCCTCCTCCAAAAACGACCTCCAGTCCCCCACAGAGCACATCACGGACTACGGCTTTGGGGGGGTGATGGGCCGGTAGGAAACGCGGATGCATTTTTCCTTCTAGCACCATGCCAATTAATTTCTGATTTAATGTAAGCAAGGGGACAGGAAGCCAAGAAGGAGGCTATGGTGGGTCCCCATAAGATGTGATCTTGGGCACAACTTGATGGGCTTGCTGGATTTGACCAAAACTGACACCTAGTGCCCCGTTTATTTGGTGGGAGCAGATTTGCCAATTTCTCTGCTGTCACGGTTTGGTCCAGGCTCTGTCACATGACCTTTCCAGCATGTCCTTCTGAGGCCAGGTTTCATATAAAGTATGTGGCTTTGAAAAAAAAGGAAAGAAAAAAGTAAAGTTGGCAGTTTCTCACTGCTTTCTTAGTCAGATTCTCAAAAAGTGTGCTATTCTGTGAGTTTTCCAATGGAGAGGTCAGGTGATCAACCTACATGGCTAGAAAAGGTACTTTTAGGTCAGACTGGGAATCTAGTTTCCTGAATTTACCTCAGCAGAAGTGTTCTTGCCTCTTTTCAGCTCTAAGCAGCTCAGGGTACTGGGATGGGATAGATGATAGAATTGGGGGAAGTGGAAGGCTGGGGTGAGTACATTAAAAAAATCATGGTTTTCCCTGAACTCCTAGAAGGGTCAAATCTTCTCCTGCCTCTGTTTTTTTCTCTCTTTTCCCTCCCTCCTTATTTCTTCTTTCTTTCTCTCCCTCTTTAACATCTATGCTTTTGTCCTGTTGGGTCACCTACAGGCATTGCTTAGCTTGGCTGCTGGCCATACTGAAGTTGGCCCCCCAGTCACAATCCATCCCTCGCTTCACTTCCAGCCTCCCCTCCCTCACCTGTGCCCCATAGGATATAACATTGCTTTCATCTTCAAGGTGCTTCACACCTACTGAACATCACTCTCAGGTGGGCCAACAATAGTAGCTCCTTTTGTTGTTAAGTGCCGTCGAGTTGGTTTCAACTCACAGAGACCCTCTGTAGGGTTTCCCAGGAGTGGTTGGTGAGTTTGAATCGCCAACCTTGTGGTTCACAGTCCAGTGCTGACCCTACAGAGCCACACCAGAAGTCCGTTTAACAGGTTAATAAAATACATCTAAAAGAGGCCCCAGGAAAGTGCATGACAGAGACCGTTTCATTCCGTGGAGCCTCCACGAAGGGAGAAAGATCTCCAGACACACGAAAGGCCTGTGCAACAATAGTGTCTGCTCCAGGTTTCCAAGTTCTGAAAAGGCCCTGGGAAATAGCCCTTTTCTAGGGGTAGGTACCACACTAGACTCTGCTCAACTCCCAGGGGCCTCCTGTGCTTAGAGGTAACTGTGGTACAGTCAAGCCTCTGCACAGCAGACCTGGTAGAAGCCCACCTGAGTCCTGGGAACTTGTGAACAGCTACTGATTGCATCTAGAACCGAACTAGCCACCCACAGAGTGTCCCCAGGTTGAAATCTTATTGGCCTTGACTTAGCATAAAGACAAGACTCACCTTGTAATTCGCACTTCCTCTATTTGCAAATGAGGTGCTAACTGCCTTGCGGTTTGTAAACAAAATGTAAACTTCAGCCTGCAGCTGCTTACTAAGGAACCTGGTCTCACTTTGCAAAATCAATGAGGTTAATTTACTCTACCCCCTCCTTAGCCGGGTGTGTCCTGCGTGGCGTGGGGTTGGCTGACAAATTCCGAGAGCTCCCAGGGTTGACCTCTGCCCTTGCCCCCTGCCCCCGGCTCCTTTGCAGAGTGCGATTGCGATCTGACGGAGCGGCCATCCCCAGGCGCCGAAGCGGGGGCGACACACACAGCCCGCCCCGCGGCCTGGGCCCCAGCATAGACACGCCGCCCCGGGCCGCCGCCTGCCCCAGCAGTCCCCACAAAGTCCCCCTCAGCCGGGGGCGAATCGAGAGCCCCGAGAAGCGGCGGATGGCGACGTTCGGGAGCGCGGGCAGCATCAACTACCCAGACAAGAAGGCGCTCTCCGAGGGGCACTCAATGAGGTCCACGTGCGGCTCCACCAGGCACAGCAGCCTGGGGGACCACAAGTCCCTGGAGGCTGAGGCCCTGGCAGAAGTAAGGGCCAGCAGGACCCCTCGGGGCTAAGGGTGGGGACTGCACCGTGGGAGGTCGCCTCGACCTTCAGCCAGGCTCAAGGCTAAGCTAGAGTGCTGGCCAACACTCCCCTGCTTTTGGAGTGGCCACTGGCTAGTTTATCCCTAAAGGGCCACTGGCTAATTTATCCCTAAAGCTGGACGGGAATTACGGGCTGGGGATTTCTGGCCTGCATACAGGGGCGTTGTAATAGCAAGTGTCTCCACAAGGTGGCACGATGGAGTCATTCATCTGTTGGTTTGGTAATTCAGTTTACTGGCAAATGTTAATTAGCCGTTGTGTGGCAATCACCATGCTAGGCACTGACTTACAAATGGAAAGCAAGCCCACCAGCATGGAGCTCATAATCTAGAGAAGAAAGAGAGAACACACCCAGAGCAGCATCAAGTGCCCTAAAGCATTTAGAGAGATTGGACCAAGACAGAGAGAGCCACCCCCCTAGGAGGACAGGGCCTGAACTCTAGAGGAAGGGAAGAATGTTCCAGACTCTTCCGAAGTGCTTGGAGATTTTGTTGTTTTCAAGCCTGATGCGAAAGCTGTGGGATTTGCAAAGCAAATCGAATTGTGACTTCCTTAGCAATTTGAAAAACCATTTCATGTAAACAAAACACATGTATCTATTTTCTCCAAAAGTTACCATTTTTTTCTTCTGAAATTTGGGGTGGGGCTTGTTTTGTAGCCCTCCCCAGTGTTATCTACATCCCTCCTGGGCTGGGAGAAAGTTGTTGGGAAGAGTGACATTTGAATGTTCAAAAGGGGGAAAGGGGAAGATGCGTTCTTGAGAAGATTAGGAATGGTCCCAAAGAAATACCCAACACAGACACAACTCAACCAACAACAAAACTCCTCTTCACACCCATTAGGTCTAGCTTGGCACCTTCTGCTCATGTCACCCCTGAGGGGTTCCTGAAAATGGGAACACCTTCATTCTGGAAGACCATCCTCTCAGAAAATCTCTCCCTAGTATCCACCATTGCCTGCTAGCTTTACTGAGAGTCATTAGGTGGCTGGAGGGAGGCAGGAGGACTCACTGAGGCCAGGCCCAGAACCCCTTTATATAAGGAATTATGACATAGTCCAGGATAGTCGTTACAGAAGATTCCATAGCAGTCTAGGTCCATGGTCCACGAAGTTTAAGGAGAGCTGATTTGACAAAGTAGAATGCCTTATCTGTAAGATATTTCAGAACCTTTGACTATGTTGCTGTGTATTGTGACTCTCCAAGACTTTTTTTTTTAAACCTTCATTCATATTTTGCATTTTGTAGAACCGGCCCAAAGACTACACTGTATATATATATATATATATTATATTATATATTATATATTATATATTATATATTATATATTATATATAAGCATATACTTTTCAGTTTACAAAGATATCTACACTCTGATTTGGTAGCTGCCACTCAGAGTGTTTTTCACACAGAATGGAAAACACAGCCACAGTGTTCAAATAGCCAAAGGAGGCTGCTGGACAGTCTCCGGTCAGATCAGCATCCATTAGGATGCGCTCTGGACTCTGCAGCTACTCGAGGGAGCTGGTGGGCATCTCTAGTCCAAGATATCCTTGAGGATTTAGATTTGGGCCCAATTAAATAGGTTGTTTGGGGAACTTGCAACACTGCGAACAAAAGTTGTTGTTGTTAAGTGCCGTGGAGTCGGTTCCGACTCATAGTGACCCTGTGCAGGGTTTCTGAGGCTGTAAATCTTTACGGGAGCAGAAATCCTCACCTTTCTCCCGGGGAACAGCTGGTAGTTTCGAACTGCTTACCTTGTGGTTTGCAGCCCTATTCGTAACCACTACATTACAGAGCTCCTTGCCAACACAAGTAGGGCAGCTGAATGTGAAGTTCTCATTTTGGAGGAGGTGGAGAGTGGTCACCATCCCTGCCGATTGGTTCCTCGCTCCTACGCTGTGCCTCCTCCCTGCATCTCCACGCTGGACTAATGCAAGTGCTGCCTAAACAACTCAGCTGATCTCTCTTTGAGCTCTCTCTTCTTCTGGCTCACACTCCGCCAAGGGTAGAGTGGTGGTGGTAGTAGGAAGGTGCGAATTACATTTTATTAACAGTTTTGCCTTTCAGTTCATGCTGGCCTAGTACGAACTGACAGCCGTGGAGTCAATAAACAAAAAACCTACAAACCAGTTGCTGTCGAGTTGATGCTGATGCATGTTCAACCCCATATGTGCAGAGGAGAACTCTCCAAAGGTTTTCCAAGGTTGTGACCTTTAGGAAGCAGATTGGCGGCAGGTCTGTCTTCCGAGGCACCTCGGGGTGGGTTCAAACCACCAAACTTTCTATTAGTAGTCAAGCATTTAACGGTTTGTCTACTCGGCTCTATAGGGACTAGTGGTGTCAATGTTGTGTCAGTATCTACTGTCATTGAGCTGATTCCTACTCAGAGTCTATATAGGGCCTGATAGAACTGCCTCATAGGATTTCCAAAGTTAAGAACTGGACTGCTAACCAAGAGGTTGGTGGTTCAGAAACCCTATACTCATAGGGTTGCTATAAGTTGGAACCATCTCAACAGCACTTAACAACAACAATCCTTGGAAGCAGACTACCATATCTTTCTCATGCAGTGCGAATGGTGGATTTGAACCTCCAACCCTTTGGTTGGCAGTCAAGTATTTTAGCCATTGCACCACCAGATATCCTTGTGCCATTGGTAAAGGCTTTAATTTAAATAGAGCTAGCAATTGTAGTGCCAGGCAGATTTGATCACTGCTGGCTAGGGTGCTGACAGTATCCCCACCAGAAATGGGGAGAGGACTTTGTCTCTCCTATCATGTATTAACCCCCTCCCTTCCCCCCCCCCACTCTCTTTTGGATGAAGGCCCAAAAGGTTCCTTTTTAAATTTGCCAATGTCATTGGACTGGGAGCAAGTGTTATTGGGAAGCATAAAGCTAATACTGACTATTAAAAGCATCATCAGTCCCTACAGAAATACCAAAAGACAAACTGGGATGATGAAGTGAGGAAGAATGGGAGACCATGAAGGAGACCAAATTGGTATCATCTGAGGGTCCCTGGGCAGGCAGGAAGTCATCCAAGGTTGGGAATGGAGAGAATGTAAAAGAGGTCTTGGGGTGGAAAGGCCTGACAGAGCAGCTCCAAAATCCAGAAACACTAGTCTTGAGACTAGTCAGCCCTTGAAGAGGGCAGCTTCTGGCAGTGGTCCACAGTGCCAGTCCTCGTTATTCCTCAGTGGACCTCTGCTTGTCCTCTGACCCAGCTCAACCTAAGCAGTTCCTCTTCAATTCAACTCTGTGAGGTGGAAGCTGCCTCCCTGTGCAATCTTACAGGAACCATGGACGCTGGCTAGAAAGAGCTGGAAAGCCACTGGTCACTTACCCTCACACCACCTTCATGGTAAACTTGTGCTTTCACAGGTGAACAACATAAGGTTCAGAACAACTAAAGACTTGTGCCAGGTCACAGAGACAGCAAGTGGAGAGAGGTCTTTTCTCTCAAAATTCTAGAGCCCTTTGTCCTATCGAGACTTCCTGGGTGCTGTAAATGGTTCATGCTATTAATCAAAAGGTTGGAGGTTCAAATCCACCTAACGATGCCTCAGAAGTGAGACCTGGAGATCTACTTCCAAAAACTCAGCCTTTAGAAACCCTGTGGAGCATACATAGTTCTACTGTATGTATGTGTGTATATATATATACTTACTATGAGCCTATTCTCAGGATATTGAGACTCAGAGAAGTGAACGAACTTGGCCAAGGTCGCATAACAAAGCAGCAGCAGAATCAGGATTTGAACCCAGGTCTTCTGCCTCCAGAACCGGCCTTCTTAAGCAATAGTCTAAGCTGCACTGTATAAATCTCTTTCCTTTGTAGGACATTTCACAAGGGGTGAAATTGATTCTTCCACTTGGTCCTGGGGGTTTAATCTCCCAGCCATGAGACACCTGCCCCTCATGCACATCTCAAGAAGTCCACAAGCTGACCAGCATTCAGGCCTCTGGCTCTGTGCTGACCAAAGCTTTCTCTGTCCCCAGGACATCGAGAAGACCATGAACACGGCTCTGCACGAGTTGCGGGAACTTGAGAGGCAGAATACAGCCAAGCAGGCACCAGATGTGGTGCTGGACACCCTGGAACCTCTGAAGAACCCGCCAGGCCCTATCAGCTCGGAGCCTGCCAGTCCCCTTCACACCATCGTCATCCGCGACCCCGATGCCGCCATGCGCCGCAGTAGCAGCTCCTCCACCGAAATGATGACCACCTTCAAGCCTGCTCTGTCGGCCCGCCTGGCCGGCGCCCAGCTGCGCCCACCCCCGATGCGGCCCGTACGGCCCGTGGTCCAGCACCGGTCCAGCAGCAGCAGCAGCTCGGGCATGGGCAGCCCAGCTGTGACACCCACTGAGAAAATGTTCCCCAACAGCTCAGCAGACAAGTCGGGCACCATGTGACCTGCAGGAGGGGGCCGGCACTGCGGCGGCCCGCTGTGGCGCGCCATGGCCTAGGGTGGCCTCTGCCGCCCTCCACTTCCTCCCCAAGGGTGCTGGCCTTCTGGGGAATGACCAGAAGGCCAGGTTGGGCGGCTTCGTCTGAGCAGAGCTGAGGCTGAAGGCATTGGCTGCAGCTCATGTTCAGCTGTGTGACTCCAACAGCCACCTAGAGGAGTCCAAGAGCAGGAAGAGCCCCAACTAGAGCATTTCGTAAGAGTGTAGCAAAATGTTAAATGACTTCTTCCACATATCGTCACTGGAAAAATGATTCCCTCTACATACATATATATGCACATATATATGTATGTATGTGTCTGTAGGTGTGTGTATATATATATATATTTATGCATCTATATACATATACTAGATCTGGACACACATACTAAATGTATATAGTATCTCCTTTTTCTTTTTATGAAACTTAGATTTACCTCAGACCCATGCCACCAAACATCTCCCACTGAGTGATTTGGTGGGACTTGCAGGGACTTTTCTGGGAGAATTTCGAGGCCCACAGTAACTGCGAATGAAGCAATACACCACTAACCTGCAGAAAAAAAAACTCTCCCACCATTTTCAGAAGTTGTGGCCTTCCAGAACAGTCTGCCCCTAAAGGAAGGATAGGGCAGGCAGTACCCCAAGCAGGCTACTCCTACAGGTGGGGAACCTTTCACAGAAACCCCCCTACTGCCCCAGAGACCAGGCCCTTCCACCTGGAGGCCAAAGGCCACCTCTACCCTCAAAAACACGGGAGAAAGTTGGTGTGAAGAACCCCAGACCACAGACCCCTTGTGTTTGTAGAAAAAGGGGGTTAGTGAGACCCTAAACCCCATTGTATTATGTGTGGTTGAGAGAAAGGGAGAAAAAAAAAACAACAGTGGTGTGGAAAACTTCAAAACCTAGACATGCTGTAGGAGTAATTCTGTGGTAACTAGAGAGGTTTAACTTACACCGTTTTCAAAATATTTAGTTTTTTCTTTTCTTCTTTCTATTAATTATACTGTGTCAGATTTGGAATTAACAGGCAAGGAGGTTTTGAATCCATCTTCTAACTTCATATCAGGCCATGACGACTTTGGCTGGTGCCCTGTTGCATGAAATGAATGAGCCTAAAGTGCCCACTGGCTCAAACCAGGGCGGAGGAGGGGCAATCCTTCCACTTTCTGCACTAGAGACCACCCACCACAGAGAACTGAGTTTATACAAGTGAAATACCTTGCCTCTCTCCCTCCCCTTGCCCTCCTCCAGCCCCTCCAGAGCTTTTAAAGATGAATATGGTGATGAGGGTGGAGTGGGTGATCTGGTTGGAGAAAAGGCCTTCTGCCCACTGTCAGATTCCATTTGACTTCCTCTGTTGAACTCTAAGCTTTTCTTTTCTAGAGATGAGCTGTTTCTGGACAATGGAGCACAGGCAAATCCTGTCCTAATGGGACACTGACTTACCCCTCATGCTAAGCCAGTGGTCTCCTCCCCACTCAAGCTTCATCTGTCTCCCTCTTTCCCTCTCTCTTACCTCTGTGGCTGAAGTTTGGAATCCAAATCTTGTATTAGAGGCCTGGTCCTGCCACTCAGGATTTGTGTGACTTTGGGCATGGCACTCCATGTCACTGAGCCCCAGTTTCCTGCTCCGTAAAGTGAGGATAATTAAGAGTAAATGAGGATGTAAAAGCTTTGTAAATTGGAAAGTACTGTATAAACACTGTGGCTCTCATTAGCAAGGTTAGTCTTTGAGCTCCAAAACCATGCAGACGGTCCTTTTGAAACTTCCTAATGACATTTCAGAAGCAAGCAATGAAATTTTCCTACCAACCTAGTATGGGCCCTGAAGCTAGGCCCTACAGACATAGTGCCCCTACTGAAGTTTGAAACCCCATCATTAGTATCACAGTCCGTTGGATTCAGCCAGTTTGTCCTCTCCTTTAAAAGCAAATACACTCCCAGGGAGGGACCTATGAGATAATGATAGCTGGGTTGTTGTTTAATGCCATCGAGTCAGTTGTAACCCATAGTGACCATGTATAGGGTTATCAGGGAGCAGTTGGTGAGCTTCAACCACCAACCTTGTGGTTCGAACAACTGTGCAACCCAGCACATTAACCCACAGCACCACACCAGGATTCCAATGATAACTAGGTGGGTAGTCAGTAGTAAGTCTGGATGGGCCAGCGCTGAGATTACACAGTGGAGAAAAAAATGAGAAAACACAAAAAGAGAATGGCCAGGAAAGACCAGTGTCAAATGTGACCTTTCTAGTTTCACCTAGAACCAACCCTTCTCTCATAGTTCCTGGATATGCCTCAGAGTCATCAAGAACACTTTGAGCATGACTGTAGCATCCCATTTACAGCTTAAGAACACAAGGCTCCATGGAGGGACGGTGGGGCTGTATCATGCTCGTAAAGCCATGGATTTGGAAGGATGCTTTGCTCTCCACCCGGAATGTAAGACTTCTAGTTTTTACCCCAGAGATACTGCCAGACCATAAACCTAGTAGTCTCCCATGCCATTTAACATTCTCTGCCATGACTACCAGATAGGAAGTTAAATTTGAGCTGATTGACCTGTTTCCTGAATGGACTAATTGTATTTTCCCTTCCTGGAAATAGATCTGTCTTCCACTGGCTCACACAACAGCAGTGGCTGCTTTCTTTAAGCATCCACTTCTCCATTGGGAAATGGTTGATGGTTTCACATTTAGGAGGTGGCAGACCTGTCCCCCCTCATCCAGCCCAGATCTGAGCCCTGATGCAGAACCAAATGGAACACAACTCCCTTGCCCACCCCCCACCCCCCACCCCCCACTATGCATGCCTCCTTGTCACTCTCCACATGTGTTCCCGGGCATTGGCATCTCCTCCTTACTCCTGCCTGTGTTAGTCCACTATATATTGCTGTATTTGCTTAAATGCTGGAAAGTAACTGTTAAAATGTGAAATTGTAATTTTTAAAAAAGGCTACAATTAAATGATAGCCAATGCCACTCACCAAATCTTTGCACCTAGTAGATAGATAACTGTAAAAACCAATACCAGAAACCTAACTGTACAGTGAGTGTGGGGGAAATGTAGTAACCTAGTTAGTAGTCCTCAGTATAACCAACTGTACAAGGGGAAGTGGTGTTTACCTACTTGTCCATTGCCATCACTGAAAGCGCTTCTGGTTGATAACCTGTTTCACAGAGTGATTTCTTTCCTTAACCTTTGACCTGCCCTGAGGTCAGGCCTTTTGTCTCTATGTGTAACTGTTGTTCAGTCTATTTTAGGAATGAACCAGCAAGAAGTTCATTTAAAACTGACCAAAGACAATTCCTGGTCCAGTTTCTTGGGCCTCCCGGCCCAGCTGCCGCTAAAGACCACCAGTGGCCAACCTTTCTGGGATAAAATTGTGAACAAGCCGTGCTTCCTGCCCCACTCTCCTCCCCCTTTATTCCCCGTTTCCTCTTAAAGAGCTGCTCTGAACTGTGGGATTCTATGAAAAATACTTGCCTTGCTTTCAGTGCTAACGATTTCTCACCTTGAAGCGCCTTTTGAACCCTGGACAGAGCACAGCATTGGAGGGAATTGTGGGCTTGGGAATTAGACTTTGAAGTCTTTCCTCTGAAGCACCAGGCCAAAGGACAGAAGACAAATGGATTTCCAAAGGACGAAAAAGGATACAGAAATGAAGAAATCAGAATGAGAAAAGACACAGGGAAATGGAGCCATCTTTGGTTCCCAGCTGGAACCAGCAGTTCAGAGATCTGCCTTATAAACTTTTAAGAACTGGTTTGCGGTACACAAAGGGGAGCCAGGGTAGGGAGGAGCCTTTACCTGGGGTGTTCTCTGCTGGAGCCCCTTGGAGTGCCTTGTTGGGGATCTTTCTTCTCCAGGAGGTGTGAATGTGAAGGCTTGTGATGACTGGCACTCTGCGCATGTACAAGATTGAAGGGAAACCAACCACCAGGACTAATGTAATGGTTTTCCCTTCCAGTCTTTCTAGTTCTAAGTTTTCAAGCATCCAGATGGCTCCTTCCACACTAGGGCGAATGCCCCCATTCTCCTGAGGAACCCAGAAAGACGCATGGCTGGCTCACAACTGTGATAGTGGGCTCTGTTAGACTTGGAGGAGATGAGGAGGGAAAGGCAGAGAGGAGTGAGCCGAGGTGTCGGTGTCGCTAGGCTGATTCTCTGCTATGCAGAGCTAATGCTGATGTTTCATGTCAACTTCCCAGGTTCTCTGGGGTCTCCCCTCTTCTGAGCAGCGGTGTAGAAAATGTCCCTTGTACCTAGTGCTGCATAGGGGAGCTGCAAGAAGAGACTTTGATGTCGGGTCTAAGTCCTCCTTGCCTTTCTGGGGTTGATCTGCCAGTGTCCCGCTGTCCCATCTTCTGGGACTGGCCAAATGGCCATTGCCGCCCCTCACCGACCCCTCCTTCCTGTGTGAACTGCCCCAGGCACATCACACAGCTTCTGTTCCTTGAACCAGAACAACTAGAGTGCACTTTTCCTTCCTTCGCTGGAAGTAGACCCTGGCTAGAGTTCCTGTTCCGGCTCGCGTGCCCAGCAGTTTGACTGTTTACATGGTTTGGCAATAGATTTGTTTCTGATTGCTTCAGAGTGGCTGGTCTATTTTGTTCTATTTGGTTTCTTTCCGCCCCACATTGTGTCAGGAAAAACAAATCGAAACCGCCCTAGGAAATTGCTGGTTGTCTGTCCCCACGTGATGACAAGCGTTACCCTCTCCCAGATACCTTACAACCAAACGCCCTGTCCCATAGAGTGTCTGGCTGGATCCTCTGTTATGTATTCTGATGGTGCCTGCTGGTTTGACGTGGAGCTATCCTGTGAAATAAAACAGCTTAACTTTTCTCAGATGCGCTCTGGTGAATTTTTGAAGGGGAGTGACTTGAGGGTGGAGGGACCTAGGGGAGATGGGGGCAGCTGTCCTCCTTGTCCAGCCCATTCTGTGTACTTTCCCCAGTCTCTGCCCCTGCAGTGCCCTTTAGCTCAGAACCATCAAGATGAAGGCCAGGGTTATGAAGGGGACTGACCACTTCAACAGTAGACCTAATGGAGGAAGTCACCACAAGGTGACTTCCTGGGCAAACAGGAGCTGGAAATGTCAAACTCAGATGGGAGCAGGAGCTGTTATCTTCCCACAAATCAACCAAAACCAACCAACTGTCATCGGGTCAGTTCTGATTTTCGGGACCCCCTAGAGGGTTTGGTTTCCAAGACTATAAATCTCTCTGGGCACAAACAGCCTCATGTTTTTTCCAGAGGCCAGCTGGTGCGTTTGAACTGCTGACTTTG